TTAAATTGCAATAATTAAAAAAATGATCTACAGATGATTTACTAAAATTGGCCAATCAGGTGAATTTCTGCCTATGACATGGCTAGGGTTTTAATGATGATCTTGATTATGTCACGGGCAATTGATGTAGTACCCAGCCATGGCGAAGAAAAAGTGGCAGTCACGTGATGAAGATCATTTCCGGCGCTTTGTTTTAGCCAATCAGAAAATTCAAAAAGTGAAAATTTTTTAAATTTTTATTGCTTTTACATGAACAGCTGATATTATAGCAAAAGTAAAAAGTGATTTTTAGGCGCCTGTTATTTGTACTCTCAATTTTGTTATTCGTTCTCCTGTATATCAAAGTTTTTTAAACTTTGAGTGATGATATCTTGATACCCACCAAGCCAAAATCAATGAACTTTTTTTTATTCGAATTCTACGAATTTGTAGAATTCAAATAAAAAAAAGTTCATCGAATTTGGCTTGTTGGGCGTTGAGATATCTTCGATCAAATCTTTAAAAAATTCAAAATGTCTATCAAAAAGAAGAGCTGTGTCAAACATTTTCTTAAACTTTGAGCGAAGATTTCTTGATACCCATCAAGCCAAATTCAATAAAATTTTTTATTTAAATTCTACATATTTATAAATTTTAAATAAAAAAAAGTTCATTGAATTTAGCTTGGTGGGTGTCGAGATACCTTCGTTCAAAGTTTAAAAAAAGATTTGGCGTAGCTATTCTTTTTGATAGATGTTTTGAATCTTTTAAAGATTTGATCGAAGATATCTCAACACCCACCAAGCCAAATTCGATGAATTTTTTTTTATTTGAACTCTACATATTTGTAGAATTCGAATAAAAAAAAAGTTTATTGAATTTGGCTTGGTGGGTACCAAGGTATCTTTGTTAGAAGTTTAATAATTCGGTGCAGCTCTTATTTTGTTTTGATTGATGTTTTTTTTTAAAGCTTTGAGTGAAGATATCTCAACACCTACAAAGCCATATTTGGCAAATTTTTTTTATTTGAATTTTATGGATTCATAGAATTCTAATAAAAGAAAGTTCATTAAAATTAACTTATAGTTGTCAAGATACCATTGCTCAAAGTTTAAAAAACTTTGATATATAGGGGTATGAATAACAGGTGTCTTTTTTTATTGAAACAATTTTAATAAAAAGGTATAGTATATTATTTTAAAGCTTTAGTTATTTCATTTAAAAAGCTATATATAAGATTAAATAACTATTTTTTTAAAAAAGTAATACAGACTTAACGTAGCCAAAAAGCAAGATCATTTTTTGATCCCCATGTTTTTTGCAATGTACGGGCATTTAATTTTTTTTCACAGTCTTCAACAGCTTTGACGACTGGCTTTAAAAGATTATCAAAGTTTTTTAAAAAATGAGCATTATCTTTTTCTTTTTCATATAATTTTAGTGCTGAGTCAAAAATTTTTTTATAGTGAACTAATTTTATCTCTATTTCATTCATATTACTTATTTCAATTAATTCTATATTTTGCAAATTACTGGAACTTGTATTTAACTCTTCAATAGAATCATCAACAATAGCAGATCTAAATCTTTTTCAGTGATCATTTTCCCGACAAATTGATTGTATTTTTTCAATACCATAGAAAAGCAGAGGATAATCATGATGACGTATTGTTTCCAGAAAAGTAGGTAAAAAGAGTTTACCATTTTTCATTGCAACTAAATGTTTGCAAAGAAGATAACAGCTATGTGAATATGCTGGACAGGAACATATCCAGTTAGTTGCATCAATATGATATCTTTCATCCATTCCAAATTCAATATTAGTATCAGCTGCTTGATCCCAATCTTTTTTAAAAGCTTTTCACCATGGTGGAAAGCTACGGATTGTGTGATAGTGAGTTAGTTTTATATCAAAATCTTTTATTAACAATTCAACAATAATTTGTGTTAGGCGATCAAGATGAGGCCGATTATAATTATATTTATAAATACACTTTAGCACTCGCCAATGACTTTCAGCTATCATTGTAGTTTTTGCTAGAAGCATTGCTAATGGATATGCAGAACGAGCAAAGAGCATCTAGTCTCTTCTGTTATACCAGTTTATCTATAAGTAGCTCCATAATGCAGAAAGGTTATTGCTATAACAAAACTGGTATGTTTCTTGTATACAATACTGATAGATTTGTGCAGAGCTCCAGAAAGTATTCTTTGCTATTGGGATTAGTAGATGCATTATTGCATACCACTTGATAAATTCTATAATTTCTTGAATTTTATCATCTGGGCACAAATTACTAATACTGCTATTTGGAACCCATGTTGGTTCAATAAAGTCAAATTGATGGTGTGCTTCTTTTTTGAATAACCAGATGCTTTTGATTTTTTTATCTTTTAAAGCCTTTTAATAGCATGTTCTAAGTGCCAATAGCAAAGTTGTAAGTTTGTAGTCCATGACCAAGCTTCTTCAATAGCTGATATTTCTCTTGCATCTTTATCTACTAAAATAAATACTGGTAGCAAACCCTCATTTCGAAGGCTTGTAAAAAATTCACGTAGAGCTTGTACTCGAGTATTAATTTGGTTCTTAGGATTATTATATGCTTCTGCTGTACCATCACATGTTAAAAGATATAGGTATGCTATTGGCATCTCATATCCTCCACAGTTAGTATTTACAGCAAAAAGCTCAAAATGTTCTTGATTTGTTTTAAAAGTAGAATCTATAATAATTTCTTTTAAATTTGTAGGATCAATACAGTTAAATAGAGACGTTGTAAACCCAAGAGCTTTTACAAAATCATTTTCTAAGTAGTAGAGAATTTTAAAACCCTCTTTACTTTCAAGATATTCCTTTGCTGATATGAGCTGATTATCTGGATTAAACATATATATATGCTGCTTAAAAACTGATACCCAGAAATATACTTGCTCTTTGGTATGTACTTTTACATCAATAAGGTTTTGATGGTGAAGATGTCTATATAGTTTAGAATTCTGTAAGTTATATCCAATATTATTTTGAATTCACTGTTTTGCTGCTACTGGAAACTCAACTCTTCTATATTGTGGATGTTCATGTGCTTGTGATGACTTATTTGAACAATAACATGTTGTTGCTGGGGTCAATAATGAGAGTTATTTTTCCAATGCAGTTATATCGTTCTATTGGTGCATAAGCTTCACTTTTTCTTTTTACTGTTTGATCCTCAGGTCTTTGCCATTTTCTATTCTCCCGTTGTGCACATCCAAGGTATGCTATTACGCATCCTGTAAATTTATTTTTTCTTGTATTAAAATATATTTTACGCACCTCCCAATAGTAGCCAGACCCATGTTCAATTGGTAAAAGAAAAACATTTATTAATTGATGAAAATTTTTTTTAACAGTTTCAAGATCATGTATATCTAACCAAGATTCTGGAAATATGCTTTTGATAAGACCTAAATCAAGCTCAATTTCAAAATTTACATTTACTGGATCGTTTAAGCTTTCTGCATCCTGAAAATGCTTAGAAATCAACTCTTGCACTTCAACTAAACTATATAGAAGTCTATCATTATTATCATTTGATTTATTCATCTTGGTTATCTATTATATTATCTTCATGTGGAGAGTCTAAAGCCAATTCTTCGGCAAAGTCATCATCTTGTTCAAGTTCTATATGATCACTTTGACTAGAATTTGCAACCAAATTTAATTTAGATTCAAGCTGCTTTCTTTTACTAGAGATTACACTTGTTTCTTTTCGCTTATTTTTGCAACTTTCAAAACATTTATTACAGGTTGAATGTACATATTGTGGATTGTCTCCACGTGGACGATAAAACTCATCAATATTACCTTCATATGAACAACAGGAGCATTTGGAATTTAAAGAAATTTCTATATAATATATATTTACAAGCAATTCTTATTAAATTAGATTTAACTTTAAGATTAAAGAAAATCAATTTATACCTTTATTTTGGTTTTCTTCACTCATTTTTGGGTTTGTATTGCGTATTTTATTTTATATAAAAAGTGTACTTTGAGTATATAGCTTACTGCTTATCTATATTTTATTTTATAGTCAAGACTTTATACAAAACGTTGAATTTTACTGAACTTTATTAGAGGTCAAAAGAATGGAATTTAAATACATTTTTTGGGCATATAGGTTTTGTTAAACATGCTACTTTTTTACACATTTTTAATCGTATTAATTATATAATTTTTCTAACAATAACCTTTAACTAGTGCAGTTTTTTTATTTTGCATTAAGGACTCTAATCACAAAAGAAACCGAAATTTTCATGCAATAATTCACTTAAAGATTTACCAAGTTTTGGTGGAATTTTAAAAATAGAAGAAAGAAAAGCATATAATATAGTAATTTGAGTTGGATGAAAAATCTAACCTAACGATTTTGCTTCTATATTTTTTATTAGATAATAAATGTATGATACAGACAAAATATTTTGTTATTAAAAAGAAATTAATTATTAAATTGAATGAAATTAAAGAGAAATTAATATATAGTATGCAGAATAGTTTTGTTAAGATTTATAATTCATATAATAACAATGAATAAATAGAATAATTAGATAATACAAGAAAATATTATTAAATGATAACTACTTCGATCTTGGTAATTCTGCGCAAGTGCAGTATAAAAAATATTAAAACCAAATAGGTTAGATAAGGTAAGACTAATAATTCGAATGTGAAATAGCATAATTAATTTCTTCACTATAGTATATGCTTACTAGAATTAGTTAATACAATTTATAAATCTATTATAGTTTTGATGCATATGCATAAATGCGCTTATTACTAGAAATGTAGTTAATAAAAAATATTTAATAATATGCAGAGAAATATTTATTTGATAAATTGTTATTTAATTGATTTAATTATTGTGCAGTACTAAACTTGATAAAGAAATTTTGACAAATTTTGGACTATAAACTTAAAAAAAATTTTAAAAAAACTTCAGATCATAAATTAATATGTTCAAAAATTGTTTATTAATTGTTTGGATAATATTTCTTGTAATTAGAAAAATGCGCATTTTATAATAATATGCATATGAATATGTATTAATGCGCATGGTATCGTATGATATAATTTTTGGAATTTATATTTTCTCTTTAGAAAATATTAAATACTTGCTAAAATTCTATTGCTCTTTTTTTATGTTCATTTTTTTTTAATAGGATGGCAAATTGAAATTGATGCTGGTTTTTTTTTTGAAACGGATTTGTCACATCAAAAAAATAGGATTTTGAAAATAGAAGTTGAAAAAAATGGGACATCAAAAAAAATGAGACGTCGAAAAAAATGGGATGTCGGAAAAAATAGGAAAGAGGGCTTTTTTTTTTTTTTTTTTTTACTCTTAGCGAAATGTTTTACTCTTAGGGAAGTTTTTAGCATATGCTGGTTACTTTATTTTCCTATATAAAATTTAGATGGAATAAAATGTACATAATTCCGAAACATGCACTCATGCGCATGAGACCCAACCCATTTTTAACAATTTTACTAAGACTTTATATTTAGACTCTTTATTAAATGCTATACTTACGCCAGTTAAGTCTATGTGTTAATTACAGATAACCTGTCTTGATTTATAAATGTTAGAATGTGTAGCGATAGTGAATTAAATGTTAGAATGTGTAGTGATAGTGAATCCAAGTTTAATAGCAATGTCTTTATGAGTGAGAATTTGAATCACGCGTAGATCTACATGTCAGATCGGGTAGGTCCGATTAGGTCGGAAATGATCTTCATCACGTGACTGCCACTTTTTCTTCGCCATGGCTGGGGTACTACAATTGATGTCGGAAATCAGATCTTCAATCGATCGATGATGTCACGAGTAATTTCGAAGATCTTCTATTGTTCGATAAATTGACAGTAACAATGGGTTTTAGGGATAATGGGGTATTTACTATATAAGAGGTACTTTGTATGACATAGGTTTCTTTCTTTACTCTTATGAACGACACTAACTTCTAAACTACAACTGGGGCAGATATTGGGTTTACTTAAGCGGATTCAGGTCAGAGGTCAATTATTTTAAAGGAACAACTTCTACTATGAGGATTTCGAAGTTTAAAACTCTAATGAGTTGTCTTTATTTCAAACGAGCCAAAGGCTCTTTATATAATGCATTTTTACAGACTAAAAATCGACGAAATGGATTCCATCGATTCCATGGAGTCCATGGACTCCATGGAGTCGATTTCGACCATAAATGGTAATCCAGACAGGATAACCGAAAATAGGAAAGATATACTAACGCTAATAATAGAGTATACAAAAATAGAAAATACTACGTAATAATAAGAAAAAAATAAAAAAAAAGTATTGGCACAGCCCAAGTTCGGGTTATGCTGCGTCAAATTCGACCCTTACAATGGTCAAAAATCACGGGAGGGGCAATTTTTGTAGGGGGCTGAATGGAAACACAGCGCAACAAATTGTGTAACCATTTCCTATTAAGAACAAACATTGTAACCATTATTAAAAGTTACATGTTTGTTTTGTAAGCAATCATTTATATCGCAGAACGGAAATTCAAAACTTAAATTCGTACTGTAATTGATGATATGGCGACAAAATTCTTTGAAAAACTTTCAAATATATCTTGAACTTCTTGACGATAAAGAAGATTTTAATGTAATTATTAATAAAGGAGAGCCTTCAAATGCAAAGATATTTCAAGCACACTCAAATATTTAAGATATAGATCTTTATATTTTCGTAATGAATTAGCAAAAACTCGCAAGAACAATAATGGCATTAAAACTATTAATTTAAACTATATTTCTACTAAACAATTTGAAATCATTATTAAGTGAGTTATGTGCAACATTTATCATTAACTTTCTTTTAATGTAAGAGAACTAACCTTGTATAATTTATTAAAGATACATTTATGGAGGAGTAATTTTGCTGGAAAATCAAGATGCATCATTTATTTTTTGATCTTATTATTGTTGCTAACGAGTTTCTTCTTGGAGAATTGGCTAAATTCCTTGAAATACACTTGATCGAAGAAAAATCTCATTGGCTTTGTTTACAATTTGCACGAATTTATCAAAAGTGCTTTCAAAATAATCAACTTGAAATTTTGCAAAAATGGAGCAATGATTTTTTGGTAAAGTATCCAAGTAAGATTTTTGACTCTGAAGATTATACATCAATTCAAGAAAATGCGTTGGTATCACTTATTAAACGAGATGATTTACAAATGGAAGAAATAAATATTTGGAATTATGTTATTAAATGGGGAATTGCTCAAAATCCAGGTTTATCATCAAGTGATCCAGAAAACTGGACTAGTGAAAACTTTCTAACTTTAAAAACTACGTTACAAAATTGTTTACCTCATATCCGTTATTTTCAAATATCCGGAGATGATATTGTTGATAATATTGAACCATATCAAACAATTTTAGAAAGAGAACTTTGGAAAGACATAATGAAAAGAATTGCAAACCCAAATCGAAAAATATCAGCAATAATTCTTCCACCTCGAATAATTCCATTTTCAACAGTTATCAACAAAACACATGCTGCCGAAATTGCAACATGGATCAATAAAAAATCTGAAATATATTCTATAGAGAATAATCCATATTACTTCTTCGAGGAACGAAGGATGGTTTTACTATTGAAACTTTCAGAAAAATATTTGATAAACAAGCAAATACTATTGTGGTAGCATAGCGAACTTTTATTGTGATTGGTTAGATTTTGTTGATCATCTCGTGATTTTATTGGCCGATCGACCAATC